AGGATAATTACGCTTAAGGAAGAAGGAACGCATCTCAGAACATTTAACAGAAAAATCAAGATCATCACTACACAAACGACGAAGACGAAGACGAAGCAATTATCAAAATCCAATCCTAAATCATTACTCAAAGCTCGTTAATAATGAAAAGCTTAAAGCTGACTAATAATGTCTTATCAACATACCATGAGCTAGCTCAGGTACTCTACACCTCACACCTCAAACCTTCACAGTAACATGTCATTCAATTTTGGTTACATGAAGGTACCCATCAATACAGTTAACTCTTGTTATCGAGGTGTCACAGGCAGGTTACGTCCTTAAAAGAGTTTAGGGTCTCTCTCTTTCACCTTCACAGACACATGTCATTCAATATTGGTATACATGAAGGTACCCATCAATAGAGTTAACTCTTGTTAACAAGGTCGGTGTCCTAGACTAGGTGCTATATATGGCACTAACTAAAATCACACTAAATATATCATATATACAGTAGCAATAATATTGGTTACATGACTGTAGGTTGACACCATGAATAGAGTTAACTCTTTAACAAGGTCGGTGTCCTAGACTTGGTGCTATATATAGCTCTAACTTAAATCACACTAAATATATCATATATACAGTAGCAAAACCCTTTTAGCTGTGAGGTACCGACATGATGATAACACGGAAACTAACAAAATAATACTAATGTAAGAATCTTGAACATTATATTTTCTTTGCCTCACTGACCTCGTTTTCGTGTTCTTGATCTACGCCCCTCCAAACTAAAACAGGTTTTGCACTAAAGTGAATACATACTGTTAGTCCTTTGAATCTTTAAACTTGATAATTGTTTTAATTTAATCACTGTTCATGGAAATGATGTCCACAGGAAAATTTCATCCAAAAATGTTTCAGTCTCATCTTTACTGTGCTAATCTTTGAACTGGATCGTCACATCATCGCCCATCAAAAAGAAAGGAGCCCAATACCTTGGTTCACTGTATTGTGGCGTTCTTCTCATGTCATTCATCGTCAGATGCAGGCTTGTACTTGCGCTCTTGCCGTCCTTCAGATACTTGTAAAACGTTTCCATAAACATGATCGTAGCATCGTCATGGATGGCCCACAGGGAACCTACCACAGCACGAGCACCTGACGCGAGAAAGGCGCGACACATGCCAATTACTCCTTCAGCTTTAATCTGACCACGCCCACTGTGACAGTAGCTTAACACAACTAACTGTGCACGTACTTGAGTCTGCTGTACATCAGCCATGGTCAGCATGTAATCTTCTTCATCTGGGATTCTTGTTGTTCTTATCTCAGGAGAAGGAGCAAGTACGATGGTGGCTTTTGTTAGCGAACCGTGAGCAGCAATGTGAACAACAGACGCTCCTCCTTGTAGTCTCTTTATGACAACGGGTTTCGTAGCGTTAGCTGACAATAACGGCTGAACTCTAAGCATGTTAGCTATTCCTTGTGCTTCTTTTTCTGCGCCTTCTAAGCGGGGAAATACTTTTTCAACTCCATCCAACTTGACTGGATCAACGGAGCCACCGCCAATGATCAATGCCTCGTTTCTGGAGTGATGCTCCACTGGGTACTCTTGGAGGAACTTTAAAGATGCTATCGAAGGAGCCATTCTAATCCGCATTCTTTCAGACAAATACTGTCCCGTGTCGGGGTCCCGTAGGGCAGCAAATGGTAATCTGCACAAGGGACCTTCAGGAATAATGACCATTTCGTCTTGTTTAATCAAACTCTTGATATTGTTTATTAACTTTTGGTACAATTCTTCCAGGCCACTTGTCAGACTGCTCTCATCGCAGTTTTCCAATGTTATGTCCTCACAGTAGAATACCTGAAACACTTTCATATCGTCATATGTTTTATCAACAAGCTTGTCTAGGCATGAGTCACAGTATTCAAAATACTGCTGGACTGAAAATCCAAGCTCATTTCCTGCCTCTACTACAAACGTGTACAACTCTTCAAAACACGTTGAATAAAACAGAAGAGCGTAGTTACTACTAGAGACAAGAGACTGGACATCAGTGTACTGTAAACTCTCATCAGCAGTTTGTTCTTTCTTCATTCCATAGCTTGAAACAAGAAGATCTTTCAGGACTTTTGCACGATAGTGGTCAGACAATACCAGAGCTTCTTCTTTCTTGTTGGTTTCAATAAGAACCTTCAGAAGCAGCTTGAAAGTCGCTTTGTATTTATCAATGAAAGCTATTTTAAATCGATCGTTTTGCTTAAGACCAATAAATATCAATTCATAGAACCTTAACGATTCTTTCAATGACTTCTCTGCATCCTCAAATTGTTCGAGTTTATAATAGACTTCTCCAAGGCTAAAATGGGACATTGCCTGTTTGGCCTTAGAGCCCTCTTTGCACGCGACATCTAGTGCTTCTTGTTGATACTGTATACCCTGATCGTAGTCCCCAAGTAACACATGCAACTCTGAGATGTCATGCTTACAAGTCCACCATAGTTCACGATATTCATTTTTATTGCTCCCGCTCTTTCCGAGCGCCATACAAATCTCAAGACATGCAATGGCTTCCTCGTATTTGGCGTTTGTTTTATAATACAAGTAGCCAATAAATGAATGGAGAAAACTTACATTTTTTTGAGCACCATCTAGAAACTCCTTCAGCAATTCCGTTTTTGATAATAATTCACTATATCTTTCAGACGTGCCAACCATTTCATAAATCCCGTTAATACGTATTCCAAAATAGGTGACGTTATGATTATCCTCTAGTTGTCTAGCTATTGTCATGCCTTCTGTAAAGCGGGAGTGAGCATCATCGTATTCCTCTTCATCCAAGTGCGCATTAGCTAAAAGTATAAACGCATTCATCTCACCAATGCACCAAATCTTTAACTTCTCGTTCTCTTCATGACTTTTCTTGATGTCTAGAGGATCTGTCAGGAGCTTTTCGATCGCTGTCTTCCATTTTAACACAGCAGAAGGGTTAGAATGGTTATAATGCCTGACAATTCCCAGTAAAGCATCTTTAATGCGTTTCCAAAGGTCTTGGAACTCACTGTCATCCAGCTCTATTTTGGCTCTATGAGCGTAAACAACATTCCGATAATACTTGATTCTCGCTAGATCGGCTGGTAAAGTCAAATCTTTGTCGTCAGGAAGCTTGTCCCATCCTTTTGGTGGTGGAGTCAAGCTACAGAAGTTTCTCAGCAGTTTGAATATCAAAGTTATATCAAAATCAGTAGATTTTCCACAAGAAGTGTCGGTTGGGAAAAGAGATTTCCACTGCTCAGAATTTATTATATTTTTATCTTTCAGCCATTCCAATCTTCTAAGTACTTTTGGGAACATCAATACATGTGCAAAATGGTGGGGAGGGATTATGTTGTCCAATAATTCTCTTAAGATAAACGTTCCTCCTGCTATCAAGAGTCTTGTTAGTCTCGTGTAATTATTCTTCTCTGTTGAAGATCGCAATATCTCACTTGGATTCGCTGGAGCACTGGCCATACCTGCAATATTCTAATCATAGTACTTCTCCTAAAGTTAAGCCACTGGCCATAATGGAAGGCGTTTCGTTAAAGCCTGGTTTCCTTATAATCGAAAACGAACGTAAACGATCGAGAACGATCGCAGTATCGTGAAGCTCACTGGAGTGTATTAAGGATCGCAAACGATCGTTAAACGACCGTTTCCATATGACCGAAAAAGGTYAAAGTTCCAAATTAGAGCTGGTCTCTCGATGTTTGATGTATACAGAGAGCCAGACGAGATTTTCGTATTCCCTAGGTACAGCATCCCTGCCAGGACCTGCAGATAGAATATTTTTCCTTCGTTTCAAGAAGCGTCCATACGCTCTTCGGACGTTCAGGATTGTTTCTCGGCTTGAGTCGGCAGAATAGCGAAAACTTCAGCTACTAGTTTTTACTTCAATCGCCACCTAAGAGTTTGTAAACAAGCAAACAGTTGCTGTGACATTACAGTTTAGGAAGCATTGCATCTTCGGAAAAATCATATATTATGGTACACATTTCGATCGTACGATCGAAAAAAGTGTTTCCATATGATCGCAGACGATCGAAACGGATCGAGACGGATCGCAAAATTAGAACCCGGTTCTAATTTTTCGATCGATTACGATCGTGATCCAAAATGCATGATCGAAAACGATCGTACGATTGAAAAACTTTAATTCCATATGRTCTCAGACGATCGAAAAAAAAWWTTTTTWTTTGATCGGTCTCGATCGCTTTCGATTATATGGAAACCAGGCTTAAAGAAGAACCTATTTTTCAAAAATTTCATTTCCTATACTAAATATTTATCCACCCACTTTTTCTTGGAAGTGTTTATATTTTTCACAAAAGATTCCAAGAAGGCTTTGTTTCGTTTACGATAATACTTTCGAAMAAAGGAATACATATTTTTATTATTTCATATTTTTCTCCAGAAATTAGAATTTCTCTAATATCAAAGCCTAAGAACTAATATTACCAAGAAAAGTCATTTTACATGTTTTGATATTTCTGGTTATAAGGGAAGTTATCTTGGTGGTACTCGTTGATATAAACAAACTTTGGAGTCCTTTCACTCCATGTCAGTCGGAAGCAATAAAAACGTTTTCCAACTTTTTTTCGCATCACCAGAAATAACATATTCTTTTCTACTTTAACCTAAACTTTCCAATAAATTAAATGTTGTTTGTTAATAGTAACGTTCCTGAGAAACTACACAAATCCTTACCCTCTCTCTCACTACTAACCATTTACTGCCACAACTTCAGTTTTCTGCATTTGCAGCTGCATATTAAAGTTACTTGATATACTGCGAGGATCAGCTCAATTTGATAAACKTTTTACTCGTATAAGAGTATAAGCTTCGCACAGTTACAACACAATGAACCCAGAMACCCAATAAATATTATCCAGAACGTACATATTTCGTCAACCTTGATTCTCTCGTGAAGATTCAGCGTTAAAGACATATATTCTTAAACGCAAACTTTCTYGAACGCTCAAAACTAAGCAGGARCTAATAAATATATCTGTGAGTTTTCCCAAACTTACCTTAAGTTGTCACTAGCTAATAAAAGACAAAAGGAATGCTGAACAAACGACAGCTAAAGCTTCTTACATCTTCATGGTCTTCGATCTACGCTTGGACTTTGATTTTGAAGGGKGTTCCCCGTTCCCTGCTCGTCGACAAAAACATGACGCCATTAACAGGTGAAACGATTAAAAAAAAAAAATTACTTTTATTAAAGTGTCTAGTCGTTCTAGCGCTTTTTCGCACTAATTGGGGACACTTTTCGCTCACACGCACTACCACTACATTTAATATTCTATGCGCATAACACTGAACTCACATGTTGATTTTTACGGAGGGAAGAAACCGGAGAACCCGGAGAAAACTCTCGTAGCATAGTAGAGAACAACACATCAAACAAACTCAATTCACGTGTGGCGACCGCAGGGCTCAAACCAGCGACCCGACCCTTCGACTCACAGCGGTGAAAGACGACGCGTTAGCCGCGAACGTCATCCATGCTACCATAGTTCGYACGCTCAAGGCGTGTGTCTTATAGACCAATCTCGTACACAGAGACTGCGTTTCTTCTTCTTGCATATTTCCTTGGTTCTTTTGATATAAATACATCCAAAAATACTGAGTTCGTCAGCGA